GTTTGTTTTTCTCGTGTTTCCTGTGCCTTTAAATTTAACTGATCACTGGAAGCGCTCGGTCTATTCTGTACAATGACAATATATGCTTTCTATTCAAATATGTATACATTTTTCTAAATAATATTGTTCCTACATTTGAGAAAACACACACTCACCCTTCAGTGGTTGGTACAAGGTGGCCGATTCAGGCCAGGGCTCAGCAGCTGTCGATGTCAAAAACAGACACACATATAAAGAGATTTACACAATAATAAGGTGATATGATGGCTTATTAAAGAGTTGAAATGCTGATGAGTTTACATTCTCATATTTAATTGTGTAATACATTTAATTAAAGTTAACAGACACGCCCCCATAGATGCAAAGACTCTTTTCTTTTGGCCATTTTACTGAGCAATAACCATAACCAACACATAATGTGTTATAGTATCTCAAAATGTCATATGTTCATGTTCAATTACCTATTTAAATGCTGCTACTCCACACCATGGATGGAGACTTATTTGTCTTTATTTTATTATGAATGTGTGCTTTTTCTCTATATTTAACATGTTAGCTACTTTATTATTGCTTGCCTTTTAACACTGAACATTTTCTGGGGGACTAATAAAGGAATGATGTGTTTGCTCATGTATAGCTCGGTTTAAAAACCGGTGCATTCCAGTCATAAAACGTCAATAAACTTGCTAATCGGACGAATTCTGAAACTTAAAACACTTAAGGAGGCAGGTGAACTTCTTATAAACAGTTCAGGGAGGGTCAAATTAATGTCAGGGGTTTATAAAGTTACAAAAACACGATGTTCCGTGATGTGCTATCGGTACATGTCATGAATCTCTATACAACTGATGTAAAATCCAAGATGGCGCTAATGTAGTTCTTCTATCTAGCTGCGCTCACTTCTGCCTCTAACGGCGGGAAGTTGTTAACGTCTGCCTATGGTTCTTAACGGTTAGTCACAGTACTGCTTTTGACCACCAGTGGCAGCACTGACCACAACAGCGCCAATCAGCACTCAATTTGAGCAACGAAGAAGTTATTCGGCCATCCTGGCACTGACGTCAGTGGTTTACATTACTATTTAGCCGCACTTAGTTAAGAGTAATCGTGATTTGTAACTCGCAAACAATACTGACATCGACATTAATCCACCTGAACTGTTCCCGCTACACTTCTCCGTCTTTTCTTTGGTTTGTACATTTAACATTAATCCGTTATAAAGCAATAGTAGAGTTGTAATCCAACAATACATGCTTTACAGAGGTAGCCATTTAGGACACCCTACTCTTAGCTAATTTGACAGTCCTCCTGTATGAAAGCTAGACTGATACAGGTGGACAAGGATAACCATTGTTACTGTTATGACAGAAAACCCCTTCTTCATTAAACTACTATAGTCACGTATGTGTAACGCAAGCATTTAAACGTTAGCTTATGCTAGCAGGCTAAAGCTATCTTGACCCTACAACAATAATAATACGCTTTTTTTGTATAGCACCTTTCATACGATATTTGCATTCCAAAGTCCTCCACTGTAGACTGTTTACATCTCTTAAAATAGTCATAGAAAATGTATATAACATGGAAAACAGTTAAAATAGCCTACATAGTAATAGACATACAAATAAATAATAGAAGCAAAGTCAACGGCTTACCTGCCATCTGCGACACGAAGGCCTCTGCCGCAAGAGACATGGTGACGCTTATATTTCCTTATGGATTCAACAATAGTTATTTAATTTAAATATAAGGTTATTTTCACTGTATGCGAGTTTAAGGGCAAGTGCCTGTTCTGCTGTCACCGACTGGTCCGTCCGTGATTAATGTCCCGAGGAGGAAATGTAACTCAGATTGTTTTCAGTTCCGCTTGCCTTTACGCATGAGCTGCAGATGTTGTGAATCTAGCTGTGTGGAATAGGGAAAGCTAATTTTCTGTCGTATTTATTTATCTTTATTCAGTACATTATCTGGCTTAGTGGTATTTTATACAGGGTTAGAAAATACCAGAAATCCCCATAGTGGTGTCCAATAACACTCAACCGCAAAAGTACACTTACAATGGTCATGGTTGAGGATTTTAAGCTTTTAAGCTTAAAAAACAGTAGTGTTTTATTGCTGGTATGTTTCATGAATACGTGTATATTTTTGTATCACTTCATGACAATAATCAAATTAATCTTAATCAAATCCAGTTATATCCCACTCCCACTGTTATGCAGTCCAATTGTTCTATTCCAGGGGAATTCATAACTAATCGCCAATCTCCAAATGATTTGACCCGGACATGTTGTGCCTTTCTCTTCCAGGCTGCAATAATGACAGCAACCAGCAGAGGGCGTTCCTGCTTCTCCACAGTCAGACTGCAGGAGGCAGGTTTGTGATAAACAACGTCCACCAAGCACTAGCACAATTCGCGTTTAACAAAATAGGAAGAGTTGGAATTATATTCAGAAAATATAGCCTTGAAATAGAGCCTGTTTTGCACTCTGGTAATATCCAAAGGCTTCATGCACATCAAGTTAATTTATCATTTGTTTTTCAGGTTTTAATTTCGAATAGAATGTCCATAATACCAATATCGATAAAGGTGTTAACTGTTGTGTTTGAAGCATATCACACAAATATATATTCAACTGTTCACAACATGGGATCTGTGTAGCCTACAGCAGAGCAAAGCAAGTCAAATACCCATCACTTCTGTGTGGCCACAATCTCCAATAGCAGGCTTGAAGAGAATCAATAGCTTTCTGTCTTTGGTTGGAGTGTTTATCTGGTATTCAGTTGGCCTGACTGGATCTCCAGCATGTGATAGATATGCCATGTTGTCAACCCCCGTTGTGCCTCTCCTGCACGTTTAACTCGACTCGACCGGAAGCCACCAATTAATGGCTCTCGGCGCTCATTTCCCTTGCATCCACCCATTTTAACACACACACACACACACACCACACACACACACACACACACACACACACACACACACACACACACACACACACACACACACACACACCACACACACAGAATATTTATTTCACCTCATGTAGCCCTGCTCTGTGCGTAAACAATGCGTAAAATGCGCATATGGCAGCCTTTGTATATTTCTTATATTTAAGATCCTCCGAATGTGGTTTTTAACTATATGGAGACTAGTATGTGTGTCTATCATAAAGCCTATACTCCTGATGTTACTTTATCCCTGTCTTGGCTTTTGGAAAGCAGTTAAAGCGATCTGTCGTTTTGATTAAATATTAGGGATCAGCGTTTATCCGCGGAATAATTCGCAGCACATTTTAAATCCTCCCACGGGAGGAAATGTCCACATTTAAAAAGCTTCTCAGTAGAGATATCACGGCCTATAGATCTGTATATTGGCTTACCTCAAGTGGCATGACGCTCCTGGGATCGCAATACTAAAGTTTATATTGAAAATGTCTTTACTCTTCAAACATATGCTTATCCATTTTCATTAAAGGGGATTGTTTTTTACCCAAAAACTGTTGGATTCGATGTTTGTGACAGTTTGTGTGTGTGTGTGTGTGTGTGTGTGTGTGTGTGTGGGTGTGTGTGTGTGTGTGTGTGTGTGTGTGTGTGTGTGTGTCTGCGTGACAGTTTGTGTGTGTGTGTGTGTGTGTGTGTGTGTGTGTGTGTGTGTGTGTGTGTGTGGTGTGTGTGTGTGTGGTGTGTGTGTGTGTGTGTGTGTGTGTGTGTGTCTGAGAGACAGTTTGTGTGTGTTTGTGTCTGCGTGACAGTTTGTGTGTGTGGTAATAAGATCGCAGTTTTTTAGTTTGAAACATTTTTTTATTATTGTTTTTTTAACTTTTCATCATCTAATATCTTATCAAAACATTTGCACATATAAAATTCTTACACGAAGAGTTTTTCTTATTTTCTTCCCAAAGATTACCAACATACAAAATATAACAGAGAGGCTTGCTGCTAAGAATACAATATGTTTCTAAGTAATACAAATAAAAATAAGTACTGGCGTAGGCTAATACAAAACGATAGCATATTAAACTGGAATCAAAGCGAGGACATATCATTTAAAAAAAAATGCACCATTTCGTTATTTAAACGAGGGTCATTTGGAAACCTCTCGGTGCTAAAAAACAAACAACAAAAGCTTCAGAAAGTTGTGTTTATTAAAACCCTGTAACCCTGAGGAAACACTTTGGATTTACAGTCAGCGTCGTGCATTTCAAAACCTCTACCTCCAATTTCTTTATTTCTTGTGCGTAAAGATGTATGAGTTTCCCCCGCAAAATAAAAACAAGTTAAAAAGTGAATTCACCTTTGGAGATAATCTGCACGATATGGCTTCTTATCCTACAAACATTGCATTGTTTTTGGATGTTTCTGTACAAAGTAAAACATTATTTGACCAACTTTACTGCAAGTCAGCCACTATGTCAATGTGTTTCTCCTTTAAGCGCCAAACAACATTTTGGTAATGTGCATTTTCATAAGTTAGGCTATTTTCTCTTTTAGGTAGCTATTATAAAACCCTGTAATATGTTTACCCTGTGGAAATAAAACCCTGTTTTCTCCAAAAGACTCTCCAACCATGGCACCGTTCACCCCTACAAACCGGAAGTCTAAAAATGTCCTAAATGTCACCATGAGAGATGTGAGACCACTGGAGGTTAGCTAACCTAACGACTCAATTAATTAAATATCAGACTAAAATTAGATGCATTCTTTTCATAACATCATATTTATGAACATTTAAAAGTTGGAATATAAAGCACCCTGGATCAGTTTAGCATTTGCAGTTTTGGAGAGTTAATGCGCCAAACATAAATAGCATTTGGTAACAGAACATGTACATTTTAAAAAATATTGACAGAAAGAACCTCTTGAATCTGAACATTTAGTCAAACGGAGGATATGTCCATGAGAAACACATTAGCTTGTTTTTATGGATTTGAATGCACTTTTACGCGCATTTCCTTCCTCAAATGTCAGTTCTGTATGCTTGAGATGTGTTCCCAATGAAGTCTTTTCATATTCTCGTATTGTTTACATGTCCTCGATTGCAATTTCTTTGAACTACAAACAACATTCGGTCAACTGTAGAAGTGTGAAGCAAATAATAACCGCATGAAGGAGATTTAAAAAGAACCATAATGGTGGATAAACATGTACCCACATTTCTCTCCTGTCTTCAGGCGGTTTTCGACGCCTTTGCGGTACTATCACTGTTGTTATTAGTGTCATTAGTGTTGTTGTTATTTATTTCCGCCGCCTTCTTGTTCTTGCTCCGTCCTTTGGTGTTGGGCAGCTTGTTGTCCTTCTTCCAGCGCATACGCCGGTTCTGGAACCACACCTTTACCTGCCGCTCGCTCAGGCAGAGCACGTGGGCCACCTCCACACGGCGGCGGCGCGTGAGGTACCGACTGAAGTGGAACTCCTTCTCGAGCTCCAACACCTGCTGGCGCGTGTAGGCCGTGCGCATGCGCTTTGGATCCGGGCCCGTGTGGTTGGGATTAACTGCAAATAAAACATGAATGAAAAAAATACATTAATAATAATACAACAAAAATAATTATAATGAATAAGATGTTATTATTAAATATGTTTTGTATTATTAATATTATTTGTATTATCAAGATTATTTGTATTATTAATAATACAACATCATTATAATTATAAAAACAGGGAAAGACAATTAAGGCCAGATATTTTTTATTATATTTCATTACATCTATTAAGTAAGAGTATAAATGAATTATAATGTTCAAAATTAAGACGGGGAAAAAGAATTAGAGTAAGATCATTTCATCCCGTTGTTTTTATTTAATAGTTTTCTTTTATTTTAAACAATATATAACCTACAGACAAGCATTTTAAAATGATATTTAAAAACAATTAAAATATATTGCAGGTGTTATCATGTGGTCAATTTTTAGTGTGTTCATCTTTATTTGTGGTTGACTGGGAAGACGTCCAAGAACGAGCCTCTTACTTTTAACTTGCTGCTCTTTGTACAACCGCAGCGTACACACAACACACACTACACACACACAACACACACACACACACACACACACACACCAAACACACACACACACACACTGCGCGGGCACTGTGGCAGGGCCATAAAACTTTATAGGGGTTGTAATTCTCTCTGACTCTCACGAGATCATAAATAACTCGACAACAAAAACGGTGCTCACAAATGGACACTAGAACACAAGAAAGAGAGACAGAGAAGAGAGAGACAGAGAAAGAGAGACAGAAAGAAGACAGAGTGACAGAAAGAAAGACAGAGAAAGAAAGAGCTAGCAGACAAAACAAAACGTTAAACATGGCCTGAGCTCTGCCTTCACAACCTCATATTTGCATCTCTCATATTTATTTATTATTACAATAAGCAGTATTTAATTTCAGTGTACAGTATTTCATTTTGACCATATTTTAAACTCATCTTATTCTATTTCACTTGCAGATATTCCCTTCTCCTGCATTTGCACGATCTCTTTTCACTCTTTTCTTTCTACTCTGTTTCTTCTTGCACTTCTATTGTCTTATTTATTCGTTTTATCGTTGTATGCCCATATATTTATGTTGCATTGTTGGAGGAGCCTGGGACTTAAGATTTGTATTGCCATAACACTGCAGCTACTCTGCATTATGACAATAAAACATTTGAATATAATTGGACTGAGGGAAACTGACACAGAGAGGATGAAGAGAGGTTAATTGGGATGATAGAAAGATCGAGGCTGTATCTCCACATGAGCGATGTGCACTTTCTTCATCCACGGGTAGACAACAATAGGGCGGCTTGTCCTTCCCCTGGCAGGCCGTTTTCCCTCTGCACCTGAGCGGGCTTTGTACAGGTCATCCAGGCCTGGCACTGCAGCTCCCCCACCGAGAACCGGGCCTCCTTCCCGGGCACCTCTGCCTCCCTGTAGCCGGTGCGTAATGGCGCACCTTGGTGCAGCGCCTGGTCCTCTCCATCCTCCCGGCGGCGCCCCTGCAGAGAGTGATAACCGGGTTGTGTGGTGTGTATGGTTGGCTGATATGTTCCTCCATAACCTCCCACTGTCCTGAGGGTTTGTTGTAATACCCCCCTTGCTCACTAAAATTACTGTAATCTTCTTCACAAGGCGGGAACTGCGGCTCAGCGTATTTACAGCTCACCACGTAGGACTCCATGATTGATTTATAGCGAGGCTGGTAGGAGAATACTAATTTTTCTTCTCTCTCCCCTCTCTCTGTCTCTTTCTCCCCCCTCTGGCATCCAGCCATCCTGCGGCTGTCAAATAGACGGACGGCCGCGCGGGACAAACGTGACCCCGCGGCCGGCCAATCAGAGGGGGCCCCTGCGGGTTGTTTATGTCAGACGTAATGGATAATTTGAAGTAAAAAAATAAAATGTTCATTACGGGACTAATGAAGCTATGCTGGCGGAGAGGAATGTTTAAGATTAGATGTTTAAGGAATGGGAGAAATAGCTTAAAAAAAATCTTATTTCTTATATTTCAATTTCTTCTGCACTTTTTTTTTTATTGTTTTATGATTTATTTATTTATGTTGCATTGTTGGAAGAGCTTCAGAATGTCATTGCCAATACGCTGTGGCTATTGTGCATATGAAAATAAAGCCTTTGAATCTTCAGTATTTGGAGATATCTGCCATTTAAAGACTCTAATATTAAAAAAAGGGTTGTTTTTAGTGATTGTTATCCATCAATGTATCTATATATCTCTCTAACTATCGAAATATCTATATATATATCCACCCCATCCATTCATCTTTCTATCAATCTATCATTTATCTTAAAAACGGTACTAATGAAGTTATGCGTGGGGAAAGTGTTGGAGCAATAGATGTGTTTAGGCTTTGAAAAATGACTAAGATGCCCCAAAAAAATCTGCTATTTGAAGACTTTCGATCCATCCCATCTTTCTATCTATCTATCTATCTATCTATCTATCTATCTATCTATCTAGTCGATCGTATTCTATCTATCTATCTATCTATCTATCTATCTATCTATCTATCTATCTATCTATCTATCTATCTTTCCATCTGTCCATCCATCTATCCATCCATCCATGTAATTGTGCATCTTCATCCCCCCTCCCTCAACCAGCACCAATTGAAAGCACTGACTGTAGATTTATGACTTTTAGCTGCCTGACTTTAACCCCCACACACAGATGGCCTGAAAATTAATCTGGCCCATATTGAGTGACCACATTTGGCCTTGTGACGAGTCAAAGGCTGGACAACAAAACCGAAAGGCCTCAAATTAAAAGAAAGAGATAAAAGGTTCCCAGACAGTGACTAGTAGTTGGCTTGTTCGGGTTGGGGTCAGCTCGAGGTGTCCAACCGGCCAATGGGCTTCTTTTAAAATGCTTAGAAAAATGATGCAAACGCCTCAGAGCAATGACACAGGGCTGAGAAATGAACGCAATTAAACAGAATCTTAACGGAATACGTGAAGCAGATAAGTGAGAATAGGCACGTTCATCCGTAAATATTCTTTCCCTTAAAACGGTCATGTTTTTGTCCAAAATGCTGAATCAAAGTGCAGTGAAGTAAATAAGTACATTTACTGAAGTACTTAAGTACTATTTGGTCTATTTGGACTTGAGTATATCCATTTAATGCTACTATATACTTCTATTGCCTTAATTTTGACACATTTATTGTACTTTTAGCTACTGTTTACATATAAAACAACATGACATTTTAGCATGCAGTACGTTACTACTTTTACTTTTGATACTTTAAGTACATTTAGCTGGTAATACTTCTATACTTCTACTAAAGTAACATTTTGATTTAGAGGGCTTTCCCTTTGTAGTACCAGAGTATCTACTTCAGTAAAGGATCTAAGTACTTCTTCCACCTCTCTCAAAGCGTCTAAAATAATAACATTTGAATTGTTTAATCGATTGTAAATCCGTGTTCAGGACTGCATGAGGATTCTGCTTTTGGATGCGCCTCTGTGGTACGGATGCTCCGCCAAAAGCTTTTTAATAAGTCCTGCAAGGTTTTACTTCTGCCTAATAAACTCTAATAAGAGAGGAGGAAGGAGAAAATGATTTGCTTGGCTGAGGCATTAAAGGAGCTCATGCGGAGGGTTGTAAATGGTTTGAAGATCTTTGGCATGGTTGACTGAGTGCAAGTGAATTAAAGATTATACGGCCTTAAGGGCGTAATATATCTGATGTAATGAGTCATTTGTTCGGGATAGATCATAAGGAATGACTGCAAATGACTGATAATAAGCTACCAGATAGGCGATAAGTGCTAAATCTCACTTTTATCTCAGCTTGAATGTTTTCTATCCTGTCTGTTTCATATAGCTCAGCACGTATGAACACACACTCTGAGACTGAATGAGTCCCTTGCTTCTCTTCAATAGCTTCCACTGAGAAGCAATACACCGTATGGAAAGCACTTGTTTAATGGGAACACAACTTCTTTCTCCATTTCACATAATTTTCTACCTTTTAATGGGACAATTTCAAACATTAAATCAAGATGATGCAACATTATTTATAACCAGGCACATGCATCAGGACAAAAATGGGAAACAGACTTCAAATATCAACAAAATTCTAGCTATTTATTGTTGTTAAGCGTTGAATAAGATGTTTGTTAGTCCATGCAATCAGTAGTGTGAATGTGTGTAAAGGTAACGTTAAGAAACAAAGGGTATTAGTTGTTTATCTGCAGCTCTTTAATAGAGTTGGCTGCAGACATTACATCACTGAGGCTGTGCTGCAAGACACATTGATGTTTTAATTAAGACTCAACTGAGCGGACTTTAATACTTAATTAGATCCATGGTGGTGTAATCACATCCTACTGTGTGTAACTCGACATGTGCAAACCATCCTGCTCCATTCGGTGATCAGTTTGCTTTTGGTGCAGTGGTGACGTATTTATAGGGTGAACTGGAAGTTAGCATCACAAGGGCATCTTTGACGAAAAGCCAATGGGATTGTTCCATTGGATTTTGGAATATTGCAGAAAATAGGCTTTTGTGGTCAACACACATCATTCCTATTTGTTTTGATCAGCAGGATAATCTCCACATATTAACACCACGTTTAAGATTTCAGCCTATAAAGGAACTACAGCACGGTCACATGACTTCACGTCACCGCCGCTAAGCTAAAGGAGACTAATGTTGGGCTATAAAGGAACTACAGCACAGTCACATGACTTCACGTCACCACCGCTAAGCTAAAGGAGGCTAATGTTGGGCTATAAAGGAACTACAGCACGGTCACATGACTTCACGTCACCACCGCTAAGCTAAAGGAGGCTAATGTTAGGCTATAAAGGAACTACAGCACAGTCACATGACTTCATGTCACCACCGCTAAGCTAAAGGAGGCTAATGTTGGGCTATAAAGGAACTACAGCACGGTCACATGACTTCACGTCACCACCGCTAAGCTAAAGGCGGCTAATGTTGGGCTATAAAGGAACTACAGCACGGTCACATGACTTCATGTCACCGCCGCTAAGCTAAAGGCGGCTAATGTTAGGCTATAAAGGAACTACAGCACGGTCACATGACTTCACGTCACCACCGCTAAGCTAAAGGAGGCTAATGTTGGGCTATAAAGGAACTACAGCACGGTGACATGACTTCACGTTACCACCGCTAAGCTAAAGGCGGCTATTGTTAGGTATGATGACCTTTAGCTGTCTCAGTTAGACACTTGTAAGCAACTGTTGTTTGTAAATGTACCTGTTGGGTATTTACAGAATCTTAAATGCAATCTCCAGAAGTTAAAAGCTAACGTTAGGCTATAAAGGAACTACAGCACGGTAACATGACTTCACGTCACCGCCGCTAAGCTAAAGGCGGCTAATGTTGAGCGTGATGGCGTTTAGACGTCTCATTTAGGCACTTGTTAGCATCCGCTGTTTTTTAAATTCACCCATTGGGGTATTTACAAAACGTTAAAACACCTTTAGCTTGGTTTAACCACAGAACGTATAGGTCAAGACAAGGGAACCAAAAGTGGTGAAATGCTGACTAATTTTGAGGTGTTAGTACTCATTCCTGCACCTCTCTTTAGCAACAGTTGATGTGACCTATCCTCCGTTACCTCTGTGAAAGAGAGCAAAGCAAAAGCACTCGTACCAGTCGGACCGTTGTTCACTCCTCTCCTTTTGATTTTGATCGATGGTTAGTCATCGCCCATAGACTCCTCCCTAGAACCCAATCTGTTGTCTGAAGCAGCTCCGCACACATTCGGTTCTACAGGGTATGTAGGGGCGACGGTTCACTTCACGGCTCGCTGCTGATGACTTCTTCTCGTCGCTGACAGAGATTTACACTCACATGTTCGGTTGCTCTATGACTCACCGTTCAACAGACCCCCTTTCCCTTTGTTCAACACACGACGTGTCATTGTATAATGTATTGAAACCATTAGCGGTGCTTGTAGCATGTAGCTTTCTGACATCAATAACTCATTAAGGTACACCACATTAATTCTGATATATAAGTGTAATTACCAGGAGCTATAGCAAAGGAGTGCAAGCCACTGCTGTGCACGGTGGACAATGTGGATATCGGTTTAGTAAATCTGCATAAAATCTGTCTTGTAGCTCAGAATGAAACAGTAGTAGGAGTGTTTGTTCTTCCTCTTAGCATAACATGTAAAACCTCAATGCTAGAATATTATATACCTGTTATAAACACAACACCAGAGGATACATTTGTCCGAGACACAGCTTTACTTGTTGGTATTAATTAAACTATATAGAGATGTCATTCTTGTATTGATGTTGGATTAGCACTGCAATAGCATTTCTAATGAGTAAGTGACCTTGGTGGTGTATTAGCAACTAGCCCTTTCATTTAGTTGCTTATACTGGATTGGAAAAAGTGCCTTAAGTATAAATAGAAATGTAAAAACAGTAGAGATTAATGATTCGCTCCCTGGAAGAGAAACCGTACACAGGTTGGTTTTTCCACCTCATTTTGGTCCAGCTAGCCCCATGTATTCTGTTATTTTAAACCTCTGATGGAAACCAGGATTCAATCAAAGCCACAGCACTTGGTAAATCCACATCTTTCACAACCTCACCAGCCCTGATAGGGCTTTTAAGGAGCGAATAATGATAGTTGGTCATTTGCCAAAGTTGGTAAACAAGCCACCAGCTTCGACCAGCCGCAGTGCAAACGTGACCTGCATCGAGATGGTGGATTTAATGGCAATTCCCCTGAACTTGGCATATGGTCTAAAATAAGATTGCAATGCTTTAAAAGAAAGTGGCCTCCAGGGCAGGTCTAAAAATCTCATTTAGATCCCGTTGAAATACATTACGATGGTCTACGGTCCCTAGAGATGTTTGTAATTCAACATCTGTCGCCTGTTGGTCAGGAGAAGCAGTAAAAAAAAGGCTTGCAATGAAAGCGCCATTTCACCCAATGGGACTGATAGTTGTTAGCAGTTAGCAGTTTTAGCTAAGCTACATATTTAAAGGGTGCAATTTATTATGTATTGATT